CTCAATTACTAATACCATTACTTCATGATCCTAAGACTAACAATAATTTTGTACCAAAGCGTCCCTCTCCAGTATCAAGGACTGATCTACCCCTCTCTCTTCAGTTTGTGGATCAAGTATTGAGAAAAAATTCTGCAGATCATGGCGGGGCAGGGGGCGTGTCTGTGGGTGGGGCTAACTCGTTACACAATGAGTCTAGTCTGTCTCGTTCTGTTAGTTACTTACTGACTCAAAACATACCAGTATGAAGGACTGGGGTATTATTATTATTATTATTATCAATTGTATATGTACGTCATTTCTAATTATACGTTTTAAGATTAAAGTAATATTGAAATGATTTGTTGTCACTATTTGTGGGCGGGACTAGCAGAATTGAACCAGACGCTAATTGATTAGAATGAGATTATGAAATAATGTATAACAAAAAATAATAATGGAATTAATAAAAATAACAGATCAGCCTTTTATGTATAGTGTATTCTGATTGGTCGCTTGTTTTTGGTGAAGATACACAAGTTCACATGAAGAGTGATTACCACCACTCTACTCTGTCTTGTATGAGGTGATAGTTAGGATAAGTATTAATACAAGTCTTTTGGTGTTGCCTGTCTAGCCTGAGTGTCCTTATATTCTTATTATCCATTAGTGACTGGAGGATGAGTAGTATTGACTCAGGAGACAATGAAGTATTCCATAGATTCAGTTCAACTAGTGATGAGTTATTGAGGAGGAGGTGAGAAAGAGCTTGTCCACTAGTAGAAGTGATGAGAGGATTATAAGAAAGATTTAATGAGGTATGTGTAGAGTTGTGTTCAAGTGCTTGACAGATATTAGTAACTCCTCTATCACTAATGGAGTGGTACCAGATGACTAGTTCTTGTATTGTTTTATTATTAGTTAGTAGTATACACAAGTACTGGATACAATCATTAGTTAATGGAGTGTACTGTATATGAAGTCTCCTCAGGTTTAGTGTATGCAGTTTAGTTGATGATAGTAGAGATACTGTACTATTAGTAGATGAGTAGTAGAGGTGAATCACCTTATGATTATCATTAATATTACTAATCACTTCATTACACTGAACTGGAGATGGAGAGGAAAGTGATACACTGTCACCACACCCACCCCAGCTCACACTCCCAGTGACTCCTAATATAAACCAAAGGATTATACTTATACATGTATGCAACAACGAGACACTAAAAGTGCATGGCCTCGCCCCTTTAGGTGTCTGGGAGGTGTTAGCTAGAAAAGTTGAATTTAAAAATTTGGATCAAAAGACAAAAGTGTTACAATTAATATATGCAATCATTTTAAAAATAGCAAACAATAGCTTTCAATGCATGTGCATGATCACTATCTATTTTAGATTAATTTTTCTATACAAAAAGTTGGAAAGTGCTCCTGAGGCCAAGGGATTATAACAGCTAGCTTCCTGTAGTTAAATTTGCTCTTGTATTCCTGCAGAAGTGGCAAGCTGCTCCAGGCTCAGCTTTGAGGTGTGACATTATCACTTGTGTCGGACCCAAATACTGTTGCCTAGATAGATTGAGTGACTTAAGAGAGTTTAGGATCCTTAGACTAGTGAGTTGCTGCTACAGCACTTTACTCAGGATAAAACTCGAATTACCATAACTCAATAACAAGTACTGTGCAATTTAAAGAATCTCACGAAACAATAACTAGTCTTGATCTTCTGGATAAGAGCTTCACTTACTTCCATAGTACTACTGCTATTGCTGGGCATTCCCTCATGAGTTTAAAGGATTCTAGTAGCTATCTCTGCTCCCTAAACATCTCAAAGCAGTAAAGCAAGACTTTCCTAACAGAAGAGAAAACCCTTACAGCTTTAAAGTGCACGGTTGTCAAGTTATTCATTCTCAAAGATAAAAGATAGCACACAGAATGAATGAATGACAAACAGACAGACAACAATAGTACCTAGTCCTCACCTACACAAGGCTGGGCGAGGCCGATAAACAAATACAAACACAATATGTACATATGTATAAAATTACATGTATATACATTGTATGTGCTACATACACATAACATTACAAGTTCATGAAAATAATTATACTGACTGTCACAATAATCACAAATATTACCTTTATCATGTTGTTCCTTGTCTTGTCTCAGTGCAGATATCATAATAGGATCATCATTAATAGTCTCCAAGAAAAGAGAAGCTTTCTCATCATTACTAGATGAATCATTCCTTATCTTCTGTAGAATAGGAAGGGACACTTCTTCCACTGACAGTATAAACTCTAACAATTGAAGTGACTCCAACATTGAGTAAACACAACTACTAGGAATGTCTCCCTCATCACCAGACACCAAGGATCTTCCTCTCCACTTCAAGCTATCAAACTTGTCATATATCTCCAGCTGCTCTCCCTCACCTAATGAAAGATAATAACTATATATTCCATGATAGTCAGTATGTGCTGTGTAAATAGATTCTGCTGTTGGTGTATCCAGTGATTGTGTACACTGATCCTTCTCTATACAATATATCAATCAGTTAATGATTTAATTACTAACATATCACGTACTCTCAATATTTCCCTTTTGAATCATCATCAGTTGTACACTAGTTATTGATATATTTTCTTGAAGTAGCTCAATCTCTTTCTTATACTCCACTAATGCCTCCTCTCTTCCTGTCATGAGGTAGTATAGACAGATTATACCAGTAGACTCAGTACCTGCTTTCATTAGGAGAGAGGTTCGGAAATACTGAGTCTCTGATTTCTTTGATTTAAATATTTTATTTATCAACTTCCCTCTAGTCAGTAGCTTCACATTCAGTTTAGACTCTACAGTAATGACACAATGAGAATTTTAATTTATAAGATAATTGTACTGATTGTTCAAATGATTATCAACTCCACATTACTTTAATACATGCTTTAAGTTAGTACTATACCTGGTGTCTCTAGTCTCCTTTCAATATACTCTATACAAGTAAAAATACATTAATAAAATATCTTCATCATTCACTAACTATACCTTTTCTTTTTTTGATGATATTCAGTTGTTTATCTTGTTCAAATATTGATCCTATACCATTAGTATAAGTAACATCAGTAATTGAGTAATAGATCAACTATCACACCTTCTTTGTAATCAAGTAAAGTCCTCAGTTCTTGTTCCTCTCCATCAGCTAGT